TTAGCACAGTGCTGGCATATAGTAAGCATTCAATAAATTTTAGCATTGTTATTTTTATTAATGCAATGAAGGAGGCAATGTGACAATCTCTAAGGATAAGAAAATAATAGGGCAGAATTTTTAATTTAAAAGCTCAGTATTTTGGAGAATTGAGGGAGAAACAGATATAAAGACATAATTATAAAACCTCTTAACAAGTGCTGCAATATAAGTGTGAAGTGGGTGCTCTGGAAAATAGAGAAGAGAAAGACACTGTGTCAGAGAGTTGGGACAGAGAAAACAATAGTCAAACTGAGTTTTGAAGATTGAGAGGAACATCATAAAATGGCGTGGCAAGTTTGAATTCCTATTACTATAGGGTAGGTACAGGATTGTAAAGCATTCTGTATACCATACGAATGAGTTTAAATTTACCCTAAAGGTGTTAAAGAAAAAATTATTCAATGATATTTATTAAAACATGGTAAGGCAGATGTCATTCAGGACCATTGAAATAAGTATAGGGACCACTGTAATGAGATTTTACAGTCGGGTAGAGAGATTGGGCTTAACTGTAAACACAGCATGGGCAAATGGGAATTTATAGCCAAAGAGAAGAGTAGGGGTCAGTGGATGGAAATTACTAAAAGGTAACACGAAGGGTAAAGGGGATTCTGGCTAAACCAACCTAGCAGGATTCTTGCTGAAGACAGGCCAGAATGATCAGATAGCACCTGGGGGATGGCAGAGAATAAAGAACCTGATCAGATATGGAGGATGGGTTCTTTTTTTGCTAAACTGACTTAGGGTTCCTGCTAAAACTGGATTTTATAAGGAAGTACACAGATGTGCCTAGAAGAAGATTCAGAAGCCTGACTAAAGTTGGTCAAGCAAAAAATCTTTGCCAAAGACAGCAAGACTTGGTAAAGGGGGTGACATCATCCGATTCTGGAGATAGGGGTAGCTCTCTGGAAGTGGTAGAGAGGATGGATTAGAATGAGCAGAGACAATGTCAAGATTTCAAATAAAAGAAGATGATGGCCTGTACTAAGGGAAGATGGAGAGAAAGGCATCTAATTAGACGTAATTTATGATGTAGAATAAACTGGATTTGGTGACTCCAAAATCCGGGTTGATGAAGGGAAGGAGTCTTGGGTGAGTTAAAATCCACAACTCTGGCTGGTCCAAAGGCAGTGATTTATCCTAATTCATTGTTCACAGTCAGTTATAGATTGAACCCCTTGTTCTATCGCCCCTTCTCACTACTGCACTTGACTAGTCTTAAAAAAAAAAAATCCACAACTGCTGGAGACCAGTGGCTGATAATACTATAGTTATAATAAGGTTCGTTGGTAAGGGCAACTTGAGTCAGTTGGGAGGGAAAACATAATGTTTCTGTGATGTATCTTTGGGTGTTCAGCCTGCCTTACTTTAGGAGTTGGTGACATACAAGGAAAAGCAGAATTAAAAGATAATGTGAATCTTTCCATGAACTTTTTGAAGGCCCCTTGTAGCTGAAGCTGCTAAAGAGGATATCAGCCAGGGAATGTGTAGAGACCCTTTACACGCCTATGATATTGATTCCTATAAAAATGAAGAAACGTAACACCAAGGTTCAGGGTTCAATCCCTGTACCAGCAAGGCACCAAAAAAAAAAAAAAAAAAAAAAAAAAAAAAAAAGAAAAAACGAAACCCCAAGGTTCGGGGTTCAATCCCTGTACCAGCAAGGCACCACAAAAAAAAAAAAAAAGAAAGATCAAACCCAGGTTCGGGGTTTAACCCCCGTTCCCCAAAGGCCCCAAAAAAAAAAAAAAAAAAAAAAGAAAGAAAGAAGGAAACAAAGTCACAAAATTTTTATTTCAGGGGGATTTGTGGAGCTCCCATCTATGATAGGCGAACTATGGATCTCAGTTCAGTAATCTAGGGGATAGCACAAGAAGATGCAGGAAAGAGTCTTACAAATTTTAATGCATGAGAGCAAAGCTGAAAAACTTACAAATATAAATATGGAACAAATTGTTATGATGAGTTTTGGCAACAAATAAGACAGAGTTATATCTACCATGCTTAAGGACAGTATATGCAGTTTCCTAGAATTGTCATCTCTCTTGCCATTTGTTCACCCATCTATCCTATTTACTCAATAGTAATACTAATGGTAGGCACTGTTTAATGAGTGCCTACCAGTAAAAGCCACCATGCTTTGCACCACAGACACAAAGACAAGTCCCCTACTCTGCTCTCAAGGAGCTTACAGTACAGTGGGGGGATACTTAAACTTAAGTAGCAATAGTGAAATACATGTTGGAAGAGATACATGTAATGGGTGCTAAGTGAGAGATGAGAAACAGCATCAAGTTGCACCTAGGATTTGTAACAAGGGGGGTTAGGGAAAGCTTCTTGGAGGGGACAAATAAATAAGCTTTGTTCTGAAGGATTAATTGGATTTAGCCCAGCAACGCTTCAGTGTGGTAAATACCAAAGCTGTCTGGTAAATACGCAAGCACTTCAGAATGGCTTGAATGTGAATTACACAAAATGGAGAAAGGCAGTGTGTAGAAATGAAATTGGAGAGGTGAACAGGGTTAGAACAGAGGTCCAAAATGAAAGATTCCAAAGATAGGCAGGTAACATTCTGTGAAGAAGCCTGGTTTAGGACAACTTTGGGGGGGTTAAAAACAGTGACGAAGTGGGGACCACATGACCAATGAAAAGGCATTTGAATTCAACTGAAAGCAAAAACAAAAGAAATCCCCACTGTGCTAGTCAAACAAAAACATCCAGTTTGTGACTGGTGACTAAAACAAGAAGGGTTAATTTTTAATCAAGGATTAATCCTTACATGATGAATCTTACCAAGACATCTTAAGGGGTTTGGACTTGATTCTAAGGGTAGTGTAGTGCCATTATAGGAGTTTAAATAGAGGAGTAGGTAATCAAACTTGCAATTTACAAAAGATAAACTGGTGGCATTGTAGAGACTGGATTACAAGGGGACAAGATTGCAGCCTGCGAAACTGGTTAGGTGACTAACGCAATATGCAAGACTTGAAATGATGGTGGCATGAAACAAGATAATGGTAGTAGCTATGAAGAATTGGATACATTAGAAAGATATCACTGAGATAAAAGTAAAGGGAGTCAGTAACGGATTGGAAGTGAGGGAAAAAGAAGAGAAAGAAAAAAATCACGGAAGTCATTAATCATAAAAAACCTATAAAAGGTTCTAGTTTCTATTGGTTCGCCAAAGGCTTTTAATATTAAATCCAAAATTAAGTCAAAGCAGTGAACTGAAACACAGCGATCTTCGTCTTTTTTCTTTTCGATTCGACAGTTTTGAAATTTTTGAAATCTAGTTCTACATACTTAAGATTTATCTTTTGGTAATCTGGAATTAAACTTCTGAGATTGTTGTAAATTATTTCCTTTCTTAGTTTCTCTTCCTCTTTCTTACTTCCCTATTTTCTTTATAGTTTATTTAGTACGCCAAAATATCTCATCAGGATTTAGCTCTTCCACCGAGAAAACTATGGATACCTGAAACTTGTCTCCTTTTCAGAATTTTCTAGATCCGGAAGTTTCCAAGTTGGTACTGATAAATGTGGCAGGGAAAAAGTGTAATTCTCATGTGTAAGCACTCTAGCTTTTTTTAGCAGCGACATTTAGCATTATAGTCAATTATTTCATTTTCTCAAAAGAAGCTTCTTTTAGTCGTAAAGGTAATGCATGTTGTCATCATGTAATTTGCATAGGCACTTCATATTTATTTTTAAAAGATGACTCACAGACATATGACTTATAAAAACAGTAAAATGTAAACGACCGCGAAGATAGGAACTCTAAAAGGTAAACGCGGCGGCGGGGGGTGCGGGAGGAGGAAGGCGAAAAAAATGCCAAGTTCCCATCTCAGGCCCCCTCCTCCAAACGCAGAATAGCAAGTTGGCTGCGCAGGAAGGTTACCCCCTCCGTAGGGCAGGCAGCCCGAGCCGACCCGACCAGGGCTGAGTTTGCGGTGGTTCTTTCCTGGGCGACCACACTGGCCCCCAGGACCCCCGCGCGGCATGCAGTCCTCCCGCGGCCTCGCCCCCTGTCCGAACAAGCTTCTGCCTCCCCGAACTGACAATTGCTGTTGCCACACTGCACAGGTACAGCGTCCGGTCGGAGAAGACTTGCTTTGTGGCGACTGGAAACTAACACCGGCCACGGAGTCCTTCCCGCAGCGGGAGGAACAAGCGCTCCCGGCCGGGCCAGGGGCAGCCCCTCCCCGCGCAGCACAGCGCCCACCCACGCCCCAGAGGCCGGGCCACCGGAGGGG